AAGACAGCCTCACTAGGTATCTTGGGAGATGGTGGACGGACTTGGTTCATAGGGAATCCTATCGTGAACGTTGTCTCATACTGGACGGGGTATGAAGACTTTGTCATTTGGCGCTTATACTGGACGAGGTATGGGGATGACCGCTTCACGCTCATACCAGACGAGGTATTGAGGTTTAATGTTTTGGCACTCATACCAAACGGGATATGGGGACGGCTCTGTAATTAAGATTGTTAAAGAATATGGTTCACGTGTTGCGGAGACACCCTTATGGATTCTCATGGATACTAGTAGGCTGGTGAAATGAGAAATGGTTATAATCTAGTTATTGTTAATGAATATAAATTTATGATATGTTCTATGTTATTGATTGTGCATGAAGTTATGATCTGTATGATGTTATTGTCTCTATAGGTTATTTTCATAAATTTCACAATGGTAAGTGAACTATAAATGATTTTACGATTGATAAACGAATTTACTAAATTTAGTGCTCCATTAATTGTTTTGATTTTCTACCAACCTTTACTTCTGTACTGGTATTATAGTGTGATATCCTTACTGGACTAGTGTAACTCATCCCTTATTTAACCATTTCAGATCAAGAGGATCTGGTTCAAGAACCCGATTCGCAGGAAAATTGGGATTAGATGTTAGATACTTTATATTTTCCATTATCTTTCGTATTTCTCGTGTTTCTTTCAGATGATTTATTTCGAAATGTTTGTTTAGTACTTTTAAATCATTATGTAAGAGATGTAAACTTTAACCTTTTATTTTACTTCCGTACTTAAATTATTATATATTTTCTTTTGAATTTCCGGAATCATTTCATTTTGTTTAAATAAAATTTATAATTATAAAGATTAAAGATTAAACTTAATAGATATAATTAATTTACTTTATTTAAAAAAATAAATATATTAGCATTGAATGAAAATAATTTTAAAACATTATAACATAATAGTAAAAACAATGGTAATTACAATTAATGTTGTTAGTGGAAATTCGCAATAATATAATATATATGCTACCTCTAGATTTCTGAAAAAAAAATATCTATACATTTTACAAGTTAAATTATAGCACGTCAAATAATTACCAAAAGAGAGGGGTAAAAAGAAAAAAGAAATCAATTAAAAATGTTTTCACGTGCTGGATAGGGCTAAAAAGGGTAAAAAGAAGAAGGAAGGTAACCCACATACGTTGCTGATTAAGCTTTTGGTTTCTGGTAATTTCCCTATTACAAAGGGATAATGAACATCTAACAAGAAGAATATTTCATACCAATGCTAATTTTGTTATTTCTAATATTATAAAAAATTATTTTATTTTTAATAACAGTCAAAATTATTATAATTAATTATTTCAAATTTTTTTTAATCATATTATAAAGAACACACAATTTAATAAATTCATTTACATTAATGGGTTATGTATTTTTTTCTTTATTAAAAGAGTAAGAGTATAAAATTTTTAAAATTCTTTCGAGTGAGATTGTAACATTCCGAAAATCATATATTAATGTATGTGTAGGATGACGGAGAGGCATTGATGGGTTTGGTTGCGATGTAAATGTGTTAACTACAAGTTATTCATCAACCTCTTTGGGAATGCATCATCTCCTTGTAAGCTTTTTTCATCTTCTATTTTTGACCCATCTCTTGTTTGGTCTTTTTAAATATAATTTTTTTATTATTTATATTGAAAATTAAGATTCTAAGTTCTGATTTATATAATTTATTTTAAATTTTCTAATTTAAAATTATAAATATATGACTCTAAAAACCCTTAACAGTATTAGAAAATTTTTTATAATAAGCTTAAAGTGAAGGAGATGAAATTGTAATAATGCTAAAAATTATCCCATCAATTCATTTCTACTGTTCGCTATATTTTCCTTCTCTCCAAACAGGAAAAACGAAAGGAAAACCCCCTTTTTACGAAATTTAACAGATTTCTGACTTGTATTTTGTGTGGGACACAACAAACGGGATCGAACTCGAACAGGAAGGAGTCCAACTCACCCACCTCGAAAGCTCTGCGTGAGTGAATGTAAGTAAAGGTGTGTGCTTTGCGTGAACGTCAAAGCGTCTATATATGTATAGGTAGCAGGAAAGAAAAGGCGGTGAGTTGAGTGGGTGATTATGGACGGCCACGCCAGCTCTGTTGACTCTGAGTCGACTCTCTCTGAAGTTGTTCTTCATTCCAACTTTCCTACTACCAATCTTCGCTCCGTTCGTAATCGTCCTGTCACCATCAGAACTGCCGAGGAAAAGGTTCTCCTTCTTCTTCCTTTCTCTTTCTGTATGTACGCACACAGGCACATATTATGTACATACATGTACATGCATTACTGTTGTAAGAAGATACATGTGCATTTCACTAAGACATATGTCAATGCCACCAATGCAGGCATGTCTTCTTCTGCACTTCGCCTGGGCTTTCTCTTTGTTTTATTTTTTGTTGGGTTTACAATTTACCCTGTTAGGTTCGTTGACTTGTTTCTATTGCACTTCCTGTTTGCAGTCTGTTTGTGAGTATTTTGATTATGTTAGGTAATTGGGTCAGTGTCGTTCTTTTACTTGGCTGAAATTTAGAGATAGACTCGCTTGGTTTTGCCCAATTAGAACTCGCCTCTTTTCTATTTAAATATTGATTAGTCAGACAATGATTTTAGACTAAAGATTTTGGGCTGAATATGATGCGTTATTTGATTTGAGTCAGGAGAAGAGTAAATGGGAAACTTTGGTGCTTGCTTACAAGACGCTGGGAGTGGTATTTGGGGGACTAGTCACATCTCCTCTCTATGTTTACCCGTCAATGCCGCTCAAATCTCCTACAGAAGAGGATTATTTGGGAATTTACAGCATCATATTTTGGACTCTTACTCTTATTGGAGTTGTCAAGTATGCTGGCATAGCTCTCAGGGCTGATGATCACGGTGAAGGTATATGAATATCTGCTTGACTATGAATTGGGTTATATTCTATGTCTGTCTGTCTTTGAATCTCGAGTGCCATACTTCTTATGTGTGTACAACCGTTTATTATGTGGAATTCTTAGCAGCTTGAGTAGAAGTAACATATTCTAGGACCACTTACGGTTCACCCAGTCAAAAGGCATGCTGCATGAACTAAATTAAAACTATAAGCCTTTTATGGATTGACAAAGCATTATCGATGGTGAAAATGGATTGCCAAATTCAGAACTGAAAACTGAGAACCGTACTTGATAATGTGCTAAAGTAGCAGTTTTGCTCAAAACATTGTGTGGATCTGAAGTGCATAGTTCTTTTGGCCACACAAGGGCAATATTCTTGACTTCTTAGGACAACTGACTGTTGCAGGTGGAACTTTTGCTCTTTATTCACTGCTTTGTAGGAATCTGAATATTGGGATTCTTTCTTCTAAACGGTTTCATTCAGACCCAATTTCACACTCTCTCTCCCATGACGACGCTGAAAGGAAAACTAGGCTTGCCAAATTTTTTGAAAAAAGTATAGTTGCTAGACGGATTCTGCTTTTCATTGCTATGCTCGGCACATGCATGCTAATCGGTGATGGTATTCTTACACCGGCAATTTCAGGTTTCTTGTCTTTTGCTTTTCTGTATCTGTTCTCAGTGCAATGCTTGTTCACAATGCTTTTAACTCTTTTAAGTATTTTGACAGTGTT